ATGATTTGGTTGGTTACTTCATGCTTAGGGGCTAAGTTAATTCATAACAATGAAGTGGATACAGTGCCTCCTAATTCCATAAATAAATCAACCAGCTTACGGTCCTCCAATGCTGGCGCATCCAGAAGATAGTATCATTACACAAACCCGTTAGAGAGTTGTATGGATCCAAAAATTCGAACTATCTAAAAATGTAATAGAATGATCCAAAGCAGAAAGTCTTGCAGGCTAAAGAAAACTTTACATCCAAGCGTACGATTAGGGAGTCAACAGCGTGAAACGAGAAAGGATTGAAAAAAACTGAGTGCGAACTGTTTATGGTCGTTGGGTAGGCTTAAGGAGAGGAGAGAGACTGAAGAGATAGAACCGCTGGGGTAGTTCCGAGTCTGGTTAGGCCTATCACACCTCACAAGACTTGAACATTGCAAACACACACGACATAATACCGCATACTTAAACATGCGTTAGCATCAGAAGATCGTAAGCTGGCTGTTTTTCGTAATGAAACAGCTGCCAGCTTATAATATTTCTTTTCATACATTAACTCGCCTCTTAAACACGCATGTAGGGTAAGCATAAAGTGATCAACCAACTCATGGAATGCCTCATTAATTATAAAATTCATTAGGTTTGCAGTTTGTAACCTCTTCTTTCCGTTTTGTATATTAACGCGGTTCTTAGTAAAGTATGGCTCTTCGTCCTAACGATGTCTGATAAGTTAGGATAGGCGAGAGCTCGGTACAGGATGATGAGCCGAAGTCTAATTTGCACAATTCAAAAGTCTTCACACCTCATGGACAATCCATCATCGGTTTGCAATGAGACCAATTCATGAATACCTTTCAACCATCGTTTCATTTGAAATGAAAATCGAGTCACATAAAGACGTCTCAGTTGATAGGTTATAAACCAACTGATCACAGACCCCCATCGAAAATGAGTTGTCAACGACTGTAGGGGCAAATATAAGTTTTCAGTTAATAAGTAGGCTTTCGAGAAGTAGCAGTTGACCTGACATAAGGCCTGCATTCACCAAATTTCGCTGGAGGTGGTGAAATGCTATTAATTGCATTTTCCCGCAATCATATTAGCAGGCCTAATATTATTTCCACATAGTCTTGCTAACCAAAATGTATTTTCATACCCGCAAGAGTGGCCTTCCGTTTCGACCTCGCCCAGATCTTATCAGCACTCCCAAGAGAGGTCGAAACTGCAGTCCAGCTCAGCCTGGATGGGAATAATTTTTTGTGAGGCAAGTCTGTGTCAAATGGAAATTTGACTCATGGGCAATCGTTCTATAAACATTTTATTTGACAGAATCCTGGTTTGGCTTAAAATTAATATCTGCACTGAGACCCGACGTCTAATCTCTCCATAAAGGATTAAAAGACTAGAAGACCCAGGCGAGGTCTGGATTAAAAATCCTTTCGAGAAGCCAGACTATGTGAAATTCATTTTTATTTCATTTTAAAGGCATACATCTATCGTTATTTAGGAATAATAAGGTAAGGTGGCCCTCGTTTTGCTTGCAGTCTCTCTACGGAATATAGAATTTATTTCAATTAGTCTTCACAACTGCTGAGCTCATTTCCATTTCCAGTTGAAAAGTGTATTATGAAGAGTTTAGAAAGTCGACCCCACCAGAAGACGTCGGAGGATTCCTCTTAACCAGCTGTCGATTAGTTTTCCTGGCACATTCTCGTTGATGCTTTTTCCGAGGCAATCTTCTTCGATTCCGATGAAAACGCGCTAAACTTTCGTCCGTCGTTGATGGGCATTACCTCACAAATGTATGATTCCTACCATCATATTATGGCTAACAAGGCAAAAAAAATCTCAATCACTTATCCCGTAAGGCTGTATATATCATTATAAAACGTAAATATATGAATTATTATGAATTCTAAATTGATTTGGTTAGATTGACATGCGACTTGAATGAACCAAATTATTTTAGGCCTCATCAAAATGCATAGCTTTATGGCATACATACGGTATTTAGGGATAAGCCGGTAAGTTTTCTTGCGTCATTAGTATGAATATGGTGGTATGAATGACATTCTGTTCAGATGATGTCCGTCACTTCACGTCTTCCCCGGAATCGATGGGTATTGCCTCAGAGACAGCGTTACCAAGAAATTTCCAGAATTATTGAATTCTTGAAGAATCCACCATCGCCTTCTGGTGTGAATGACCTTCACAGTTCTTCATCATCAGTAACAATCCGAAACACTCCTCGAAACCCAACTTTTCTACGTCAAATTTTTGCAGGTTGGCAGGTAAAACCCAAAGAACTACCCCCATCTCGCCTGTGTTTTCTGCTCATTTAAAGCATCGGACCCTTGAATCAGTACAATTCCGGATATGCCCTCAGTAGCAAGCATCAGTCTTATCGCCGATCTACAATACATCATAGCAACCTGTCCAATAGGATTGAACTTGCTTGTACTTTTTTTGAAATGTAACTCGATCTGATGCTCAAAAGCATGACCAGTATGATTACTGGCCACTGACTCGTGACTAGGTATACTATTCAAAGTCTCCGTTTTAACCTGGCCAAGTTGCTAAAACAAAGTGTCAAAAATCTCAGTATTTTCTAAATAAAAAGTGTATTCATCCTAAGTCGCATAAGATTGTACAGGATGGGTAGTTAAATTTTAATCATAAGATTATCGAAAAGTTTACCTATCACTTCTTTATCACTTTATGCGGTCCAGGATGATAACACTTTTTAATATAACTAATTCTCCTTGTCCATTCTTAACCTTGAGGCGCCCAGAATATCTGGAGTTTTTATTCGGCGTCTGGAAGTAGTCTCGAAACCGACCTAACACCTAAAATATGAATTTAACTATTCTGGTATGTTGACTCACCGTCGAGGCAACCCGCAGTTGTCTGAGGCATATTCATTTTGACTTTGGATACGTGATTGTTTAGGATGTCAACTGATGCGTCTAACTTGAGCGTAAAGCAGGAAACGGGCCGGTTGCCATACAATTAAATCTTCACACTGACGAGAGTCTGCACAGAGTGGCCCCATGCTCTTCTTATACACGCAAGTGTTCCTTTTTCACTTGCCATACGGTAGCACTTTTGAAGCGATTCTTTCGAGGCCATAGACACTTTGCGCCAGAAAGCTGATGAAATGAATGCAGGCTCGCAGCCTCGAGTCATATGCTATTTGCTTTGCTTATCAGCTTGCCTCCTGCAGAAGCTTGACTTGGGATCTGACTGTCAACTCTCGAAGCAATAAGCGACATGACATGAATTGGGCAAGAGGAATTCGAAACTATGAACTTTGTTCAACCGAGGTCGTTTGCATCGAGGTGGGTACCGATAAGGGAGTCCTTTTTCCACAACCAAATGAGTAGACTTTTGCTCCCAAAATGTTTTCTTATTCAGTCTGGACGAGAGCTTCCAATTCACTTGGGTCTCGACGACAGCCCCTATGGGATTCGGAGTCGGATCATAGTGCAGGTGTGAATTTCAATTAAAGCCAAATCATATTGATACATATTTGAATTAGCCATTTAAATTGACTACCTTCCATTCGAGGTCAGGTACTTCGAGACTATTGGCAAGTTTTAATGTGAGTCGGCAATTGGGTATGTTTAAGAATGTTTTTTGAAAAGCATGGCTACGTGAGATCTAGTCACACGATTGTATGAAATTTCACAATCAGTCCTTACATCACCTTGAATGGCCTGGATTATCGTGAACATACGAGGCAAAGTTGGGCTTTAAGGAATCTTTTGGTTGATAATGGTATCAATATAAAACATAAATCTATGAATTATTATGAATTCTAAATTGATTTGGTTAGATTGACATGCGACTTGGCTTGTTGTAGTTTGACTTGTTTGGAATCTTCTGAATGATGCTACCATTGGTCTTCGATTCATGTGAAAATATGGCAAGATTTCGTCATCACATCACGATTATGATTAAAGTATAATGTCGTTCTTACATCAGAGAGTAGGTGTGTTTTGATGAATTTCTAAATAAAACATTATTTTCGAGACTCATTTCGTACGAAAGTGCATGCTGAAGATATTCGTTGGTTAATCGTACAGGAAGAAGACGACCGATTCCTGTTGCTCTGCTAGAAGCAGGTTAAAATAGGGTGCGTTTTCATCCGACCTGTCAGTTAACAGACATCATTAGAACTGGAAATTGTTTTCTTACAAAAGGGTTAAATTAACACTAAGTCAAGAAGGTCATTCGGCCTTAAGGGTTGTATTCACATTATTCCGTTTAGGTGACGATACACTGGTAAGTGAACTTTTTTACAAGCATGTTAGTAGGCCACATGGTTCCATTGTATTTAGCACAGACTTGTTTCCCAAAAGGTATGCTCATCCATGCTTAACTGTGCAGCAGTTTTGGCCAATCTTGGGGTGTTGACTGTATCTGGGCGAGGTCGAAACTACAATCAACTCTTGCATGGATGAACATACATTTTGGGAAGCAAGGCTGTATGAACTGCCATGGAGGGATACTCATATGATTGTGGAAAAATTCAGTCACCAGTCTTTCATCAACGGTAAAGAAATTGGGTGAATACAGCTCTTATATCAGATCTAAGGATGGCCTCGAAAACCAACTCTTCGTCGACTTTATCTTTTCATGCTATTTATACTGATTAGTGAAAACGGAAATATATAGATACAGAATTATTTGTTAAATTCTCTTTAAAATTAATCATGGTACTTGGTGTTGAGTGTTTCTGCTTGTATGTGTTAAAGTCTGTACGCGATACCGGCGATACAGTATATACATGCACGTACATTTTGAGGTATAAGTACGTTGATTTATGTGAAAAAGAAGTTACCAAATCATTCTGTATCTGTGACTAAAAGTTAAATTTGAGGAATGTCTTGTTTCGAACTTGTTGAACTTACTTCCATTTCCAGTGGAAGTGTTTGGTTAGAAGATTCGAAGGTCGATCCCACCAGAAGAGGACGGCGGATTCCTCTTGACCAGCTGTCGATTGACTTTACTGGAACATTCTTGTTGATGCTGTTTCCGAGGTAATCCCTTCGATTCCGGCAAAAGCGCTCTAAACTATCGCCCGTCGTATGACGAAAATGGCCGTAACGATGATACCTTGCTCTGATGATGTCCGGAATCGAAAGAGATTACCTCGGAAACAGCGGCAACAAGAATATTGCGGTGGAGTCAATCGATAGCTGGTCAAGAGGAGTTCGTCGCCGTCTTCTAGTTGGATTGTCTTTCGAATCTGCTTACCAAACACTCATTCGAAATGGAAGTAAGCTCAACAATCAGTGAATATCTTTATATTTTCGTTTTTTTAATAAGTATATACAGTAAGTAGGATAGCGACGAATTTTATTTCATGTCATTGTTACTTTGCGGCTCTTGCAAACATGAGTTTTAGCCACGATGTACGTCAAGTGGCGTGAAAAACGAAAGCTCGGTCCGTTTTCACCTACAACAAGTGAGGATGACTGGTGAACTGCGTCAACTTGAACGTTGTATTAAAACCAACCGGTCGCAGAACAACGGAAGTTGGCTGTTGTCTTTTGGTGAGGACAACCCACAAGTCTCTTCCTAATCCACGTTCATGATAAATGAAATCTAATAAGTCAAGACGACGCTTAAAGTAGGCATTTGTGTAGGGCATAGAGGAATTTTTAGTTAGTTTACCAACGGACGCGACTGTCAGGCTTGGTCAGATTTGGAAAGAGTAGAATGGTGACAACAGTCTCCTCCAGTTCGTCGTGTCTTCGGACTGGGAGGAGACGAGGAGCATCATTGGCATCGATCTACGAGATGGTCTCAACCAAATGAGCTGATAATGTTGCTGCCCTGAGTGCAGACCAAAGCCTCGGAAGGATCAAGATTTCGCGAAAATGTTTGCTATTCGGTCGGCTCTTCTGCTTCGGCGTAATTCCCACATACTTCACACGTAATCAGGCCTACAGGTACTTGTGCACACCTTGACGGCATGCTTCTGTCGTCTGGCGCATGGGGGTACCTAAACGCCGGCATGCATGGGCTTGCGTGTGTGGCAGTGTGCACATTTGGTCTTGTCTACAGATTGAGGTGAATGGGCCTGTGTGCTCACGATGTGTGTTGCGAATGCAGCGTGTACGTCTATGTGTATGTGTATGCTTGTGTTGTGTTGTGTTGTGTTGTGTACGTGTTGGGTGCCAGGCCAGGCTGAAGAGGGCCAGAACAATCTGATTTGCGAGTGGTTACTGCGTGCTCTCCCACCCCCCAGAGCCTCGAACACATGCAGGTCGACAGAAGCCTGGCCAGGCGGGCAGAAGCTACTCGTATCTGCGTTTGGCTGCCTGTATTCCAGAAGAGGTAGACGACAAAACTGTTGAGGTCTGAGCCTCTCCTTTCAGCCCATTCCAGACCAATCAAGCCCAGGCACACGGCTGTGAACCCCCTTTGAAAAAAGGGTCTCGTGACCGCATCGTCAGGCGAAGTTTTCACGATAAACTGCACTGCATGACTCTACTTTTGTGCTCTTCGAGATCGAGTTGAGCCGACAATCGGTCTCAAGGCTGTGAGGAGGAGAGGAAGCATCGTTGCCTTTCACCCGGTCGCCATGGCCCATAAAAGGAGGCCATATTTTGGCTGCTTGCGTCGTGTTGACAAACCACGGTTGGTGACGCGGGGACGGCGAGAAGAGGCTTTCGAGGTGGGCCTCAAATGAAAGAATGACGCATTTACAAGTTGACTTGTCCCGAGAGGCGTTGGCATTGCAGAAAGCTCTGCCAACGCTTGGATCGGGGAGAAGTTGGTGCGAACGAGCTAACGAGCAGCTTACATGTATCTATCTATCCATCCATCTATCTATCTATCTA